GTGTGTTTATTGTCCATAGTGTATCCCATTAGCGTCCCACTGTGTTTATAACTGGATCGGCCACAGTCATAATTAAACCCTGGAATTTTACTTGTTTTCTCTTTAATAACAGCCAAAATTGCCCATTGATTTCTGCAAATTAAAGACATTTTAGCAAATTTAATAGGAAACTGAGCTGTTCAGATTTCCTACTTGGTTAAAGATAGGAATTTATCTAAAGTGTTCAAAATTCTAGAATAGAATAATTAGAAAAGTCTTGCCGAAATTAAATCAGTATGTTTCTGAAAAGAAGAAAAATTATTGAACAGAGATTTATCAAAACTATGCACTTCAAGTAAAGTTCAGAAGTATGTGATAATGAACTCGAAGGAATAGTCAAGCCTAATTTATTTTGCAGAAATAAACCTCTTTGAATATAATGCAGCTAAAAGATAGGCGAAAAGATAGGAAAAGTTCAGATATGTCATTAACTGGTATAGATTACACTTAATGGCATTGTTTGCAGTCTATGCATTACTCTGGCCAGCTCTGCTAACAACTGACCATGCATGTTTTCCTTTTACACAGCCTGATGATCTAGAAATCTGAGAAACTTAATGACTTTATCAAAAAGTATGTTTAGGGGGTATCCAATGCCAAAAATATAACATTTCTGTCTTCTGACAGAATATAATTATTCTTTTTTCGTTATTTATCTTTCAATGCAAAATTTAATCAGTGATCTATTTTCAAGTTAAAGGGGAGATAACTTACTTGGACTTATCAAGTTATCCCCTAACAAAACAGTTTTTGTAAAATATGAAATTAAATATGTTTTATTAAATTTGTTTAACTGCAGATGGCAGTAATTGAATTTTGTCCAATTTATCATCGACTTTTCATTTAAGATAAAAGATGCGTTTTCCTACTTATAAGCTCAGCACGTTGGACTTGACTGAATTGAATTGCACTCAAGTTTTCTTCCATATTTTCAAGTATCATAATTTCCTCATAGCATAAAGCAAGGACCGTATATTGATTACATCTTAGCAACCCATGGTAGTTAGATATGGCATTTAGAATAGCCCTTGCCGTGGCGTGATTGGCACAAATCAATGCAATTGTTCATTTCAGGAACTAGGGAAAATTATTTTTGTTCAAGAATTGTTTATTCATAAAACAAAATGGTAGATTGTCAGAGATAAGAAAATTGGTTTATACAAGAAAAAAATAATCAAATATTATTTTAACAGAAAAAATGTCTCCAAATTTTTGTCAATGCAAATGATATTTTTTTTTTTAGAAAAACCACCACAAGAGATAATATACAAATATTAAAACCTGAGCTTCTTCAAATTGGCAATGTACTGAATAAGTTCTAAATCTGTTGATTTTTCACAAGTAATAAAGTTATAAAAATTAAAATAATAAAGCAAGGTAAATGTTGTAAAGAATGCAATTTGGGTCAGGTATTATGTTTTAGCAAAACACACCTCTTAAACTAAATATACATCCTGCATTCAAATGATGGAATGGAATGAGCTGAATTATTCTTCTTCCATCAAAGTCTTAGAGAATAAGGAATTCGTCACTGGCCCCATCCTAAAGTTTAAAAGCAGGTTAGCTGCATGAGTAAACAGCATTAAACTTAAAAGGTTTTGGAGCATGCCAAGTGTGTGGAGAAGTGATTTGTTTAAATAAAAATAAAGAAATTTGTTGAAAGCTTTTCTCATAAGGATTAACTTCTTGGTCTTCCAGTAATTTCTGATGACAAACTTTTTTTGTCCTGTCACTTAATTATAAATAAGAATTGCAAAGGTTTATATGGTTTTGAATGTTCAATGTCGATATGACTTATTATATTTGTTTTACATGTTTGTAAAAATGGTAATATATGGAAAGCCTCATAAATCATTTTTTTCATCCATTCTTAAAATAAAATTGTAACATATATAATTTGTATAATATTTGTACTAAATCCTACAATTACATGAAACATGTTACTAAAATTAGCACAAATAATCGTGCTTGACTTGCATAAATATTACTTCTTTATATATAAAAAATTTGAAAAAAAAATTGGATAGGAAAATTAATTATTAGGGTTATAAAGGGTTTAGAACAATTTGAAAAAAAAAATTGGATAAGAAAATTAATTATTAGGGTTAGAAAGGGTTTAGAACAATTTGTTGTATTGTTATACAATGTACGAATATGACAAGCCATGGCATAACAAGATCACAGTGTGAGACAAATGAAATGGACATCTGTTAGTGACAGCTCCAGTGATATATATTATTCTGCTTGTGACACATATCAAACTTATGATGAAATATTAGCATAATAAATAGCCTGGCTACATAAGTAACAGCACATAAATGAAAACCATTTATAACTGTTTAGTACATGGTCCGTGACACTACACCTTAAAAACAATGGATATTAATGGAAGGCCTCTTTATAACACAGGTCAGTCATATTTATATGGAAAAAATCTGTTTAGTGTTTCGTCTATGTTTTATTTTGGCCAGAGGAAAGATTGGACCATAGTTTAGGGGTCAGAGGTTAATTTTTCTTAAAAGATCATGGTCAGGGATGGATCAGTGGGAGATAGAGATACATAAGCAAAAGCTTTCTCTGTTCTCCAAAGCAAATTTCCGGTTATTTATTAGAGAAAAAACTCAGTAAATTACAACATACTCAGTTAAAATAAGTGACATTTATCATATAGCTAATTTTGATCAAGCAGAGACCTCTATCCAAACTAAAAACAAATTTGTCTAATAGCTTGAGGGATTAGTTTGAGTATGCTAGCTCTCTGACAACTTTTGATTGATGGCAAAAGAAATCTTCTCTGACAATCACTATATATTCTGCTGCTTTAAGAAATTACACATTCCCGATAACAAATTTTATCTTTGTGAAATCGGCCTTCCCTACAGTTTGGAGGGTGTTATAGTTTCTCAGTCATATAATTTAATCTCAGAAATATTTTCTGCTATAATGCATTTCCTTTCTGGAGAGTTTTTTTTCCTTCCCACATCATAGCCATTTCCTACCATCTTAAAGTTTTACATTAACAGTTAAGGCTGAGGAAACGTTTGTCATTTTTTTTTTCATTTCATGCCCATTGTTATAATTATTGTCTTGTGTTGGTCTTTAGATGGTATCATTGTTTTTTCTTTCATACCCATTGTCATAACTATTGTCTTGTGTTGGTCTTTAGATGGTATCAGTATCGTCTGTATTTGCCAAGCTGTTCAAGCAATTCTTTATCATCGTTCTATCATTTTGTTGTAGAAAACTTTTATTTTGATTGGATTATATTGAAAAATTGTAGCTAGACTTTGGAGAAGCCTCTATCCAATTTATTTTGATTAGAAATGGATTCCAATTAATTTGTGATCATTCATACACTGCTTGTGCTTATAATTAAATTGGCGGCCTGATGTGGAAAATATGATTATTGAATCTAAAACTTTCTGGCATTACTGTCATCTAATGTGCAAAATAGTCTCTTATCTAAATTTTCAGAACTATCTATTCTTCCAAAAATAAATTAAGCATCTATTGTTGAAAGCAGCATGTACTTGATATTTGAAATATTTAGTGTTTACATTCCTCTGTGAGTTTACAGATGTTTTGGAGTGATGTTGAAATATTTTCCCTTTAATTGTATATAATATATATATTTATATATGATATATCTTATATCTTATAATAAATAAAAGGTTTAACATTTGGGAAAAAAAAGGCAAGCACCTAGGTAAAAATAAAAATCTCACTTTTTGCTCAACCTTGTAATAAGTAGCTAGTTGTTATGCAGAGCCATGCATTGTTACTAAAATGGGGTTTGCCTAATGAGTAGTTAGACCTTTTTATAGAAAGTAAATTTGCATATTTGTTTTGAGAAATAGAATGTTTTAAAAGCAATTAAATGTAAAATAAGATGGGACATCTTGACACAATATTTTATAAACATAAGATTAATACATAGATTGTCATTTGTTTAATGTCCAGTGGCAAATAGTTCATGAATTTTCAGGAAAGTGAGAGAAAAAAAATTGATAAGTAATAATAGTCTCAATCAAAATCATTTGAAATTAAAGAAACCAGTTGACCTTTTTAAATTGTGGGAAATTTAGAAGTAATGAAATTAAATTTTTGTAAGGACCTGCAATTAAAACTGATCAAGAAATCAACACTTCTGGTATGGTTTGTTTAATGGTGGCTTATTATATTTCATTCACAATGATGTTTAAGGGAGTTATGTTTTATTTAAGACTGATAGAGATCTTTTTTTAAACAGTTTGAGTGGTTTTATGTGGGCTTCCATTAATTTAATTCCAGTTATCTATATTACAAAAATTTTTGTAATTTTCATAGCTTATAATCGGTGTAGTTAAGAGCATTTAATGAAGTAATTTAGGTATGGTTTTGTTGCTGAAATATCAGGTGTCTTTATCCTTGGATTTCATATCTGATGGTTTAATAAAAAAACATCACAGGTGAGGTGTTGAAAAATATTTTTTTCTTTTCAAATATTTTTCATTAAAATAACCAAGGATGGTATATTATATGTGCGGTAGAGTACTTTATATGCAAATTCAAAGTGAAAATTACACCATGTTCTCTTTTGAATAAATGTTTTTTTGTACTTTTTTGAAAATTATAATATTTTGTACTGATATTACTTCACTTATAAATGTGAATTAATAGGTTGTCAAAATTAATGTTGTCATACTAGAGTAATTTCCCCTGAATAACAATGACCACCCAATATCATCTTTTGATTTAGTGTTTTATGGCGTAAAATCAAAAATATTGATGTACAATTATAATTCACATTCCGTGAAAATTGAAAAGATATTAGTTGTATGTCAGCAATTAGTTGTCATTATTTAACAGTTTCATTGGAAGGGGAGATAACTCTTAATAATTTTGCATGAAGTGAAAACAATTCCGACCAGCTGGATAGCCTAATTGACCTAATTAATAAATTGGTCATTATATATTTGTAGGTGATGGTTTAGACAATAGTGTAGGGTCAGGAGAGGGTACAGCAGATGAAGAATTAGAAGACAGAACGGGGTCAAAACGACAGAAAAAAAGAGGAATATTTCCCAAAGCTGCTACAAATGTCATGAGAGCATGGTTATTTCATCATTTAACTGTAAGTAGCCTCCCTTAGTGTACAGTTGATAAGTAGTAAATATAAGTAATTAACGTCAGTAGATTGCTTGTATATTTTAATAGGTCTGCAAAGTAAAGTCAGACACTGTTGATTAATTTCTATTCATCGTGCACTACTATTTACAGTTTTTTTGAAATTTGGTAAAAATAGTCAAAATAAACTCCTTTGCCAGGGCACATGTAAATGAAGAAAAGGATTTTAAATATCCTGCTTAATACAAAGTTTTTCTAATTGTTTTGAATTAAAAGATCTGTCTGCAAAATATAAGTTACCCAGAAACAACACTATTCCATCTCAAACCAAAACGGAGACCATTTTAATACATTACTGCATTCAGTAAATTCGTAAAACTATGGTTTTAGGAGATTTGCGATGATTTCAGCTACAGAAGTATTTAGCCGATGATAATAATAAATTAATCTGCAGTATTATAGACTTAGTCATAGATAAAGTACAATAGAAAAGTACATGCAGTAACTGTCAGGCTTTATTACAGGGGAAGTAATTATATCGCGAAAAAATGTATAGATAAAAACAAATCCATCGTAGTGCATACTTGTGTGATTTGATCAGAATTTACCATCTATTGGCCAAGGCAGGAATGAGATGTACTAAAAAACATATCAAGTTATGATGTGTAATTAACATACTCAAGAATCGCAGCACGTTTTCGACATGTATTTCATAACATCATCGTAAAAAGACGGCATCCTCCTCATCCATTAGAAATGATGTGTTTTTTTGTTGTATGAGTTTTGACAAATGAGCAAGTGAAATAAGGGGGTAATCCTTGCCAGCTATCAAGTCTCACATCTATCTGAGGAGGGCTTGCAGATATTTTGATGAAAGCAGAGGTATTTAACAATGATTAGAAGCCTTCATCCCCCAGATATTTACGCTAATGAATCTTGTCATAACGGTGATGAACGGAAATGTGTGTGTATTGATGGATGGATATACGGTTATAATTGAATGATATCATATCATATCATATGTAATCCTCTAATAACAAATTTCTCTTATTGGTTCCCATGTAAAAAATAACTTTCTGACATATGTTAATTTGGAGTTACTGATCCTCATCTTAACATAGCTAGGCCTCGTCAAAAAATACGGGGAAAAAATTTAACATTGGCAACTTATCTATCTGGATAATGGAGATTTCAACTAAGACCTAAACAAAAATGAGCTACCTAATCATATCTCAAAACTGTCATTGCTATCGGTAAGATTTGGACGTTTTCATCAACCCCCTAACAATTGACAAACAAAAGTATTAACCTTTTAATCCAGAAGAAAATTGATGCAAAATCAGACTTGAAATTGATGTATAATTTTCACTATTTATTCAAGAGGCAAAATGAATATTCTTGTTCGTTGTTTAAGGAGAAATCTTCATTTTCTAATAATTACCATTTTGAACAAAAGGAACGATATCTGATTTCTCATGGTATGGAGCATTTTACACTGAGACGAGAAACTATTCAATATGCATTGCTATGTCCGTATCAAAATTCACACATGAAATTCTGTCTTTTATGACTTTGTACCATTGGGTGACAGACCATATAAAGACTAACTATTTAAACCATTGTGTCCTAAATGGTGATATCCCGTCCCCCAAAAGTGTGAGAGACAAAGGTTAATGAGAAACGCAGGTTTAATGTAGATTGGGTTAATAGTACTACATAAATTAATCTGTTATTTTGTAATGGTATACGCCATACCCTGTAGGATCACTTTATTTTTACTGTGTTTTAATTGCTCTAAGTTATTTATATTACCACAAATCGAGATTCTTGTTGACAAAAGAGAAGAAAAAAACGGGTGATGAAAAGTAGAACATTGGTTCTGGAATTGAAATTTGATTACAATTGAAATATGAATTTAATCAAACAATATTCACTAATTTTCAAATTCATTAATATAGTTTTCGTCTAGATTGAAACCCAGTGGAGATTTAATTTACCCACTTAACTAGTTTTCATACGAAATGGATATTTATTTATCAAGAAATAATTCAATCAGCGAATTTGTGGCTGATCTAAAACGATAGGTGACTCCGCAAGCATCCGATTCATCATATGATCAATTCTACATGGGTGATCTATAGAACTTAATAAAGCAAATTTCCAAATTTTCCAATTAAGTATGGTTATTTTGCAAACCAGCTGATTAGGTTAGCCTCAACAAAAATTGATTCAATATGATGGTTTCTTATTTGACTTGATTTCAGCTGTCATTTTTGTCTACTTTTTCAGAAAAGTTACTCTCTCTCGTTTCCTTTATTACATCAGTGGGAGGAAAATTGCTAAGATATTTCTGCAGCCTTATCAAGATGGGGGCAATAAAAACATTCTGCAGAAACCTGATTTTAACCCAAAAAAAAATCTTTTAAAATTATTTTTTTACCTCACTTTTATTGAAATTAATACATATATATTGAAAGCATTTAATAAAATCAACTAGATTTTTCAGAATTCAATTTTATTTTTTTCAATTTTTTTTTTTATAAATGCTTTATTTGCCTGAAATTAAAACTAATTTCTCAAAAATGACAAGTTGAACTGATAAATTGATTTTAATAAAAATTCAATTGGAATTAGAATTTGATGGATCAGTTTTAATTTCATCTGTTGGAAATGACCAGTTTTTAACAGTGAAATACCAGGTTTAATTTAATTTGTTGCTCTAATTAACTTCATTGAAGCATTTTGTACTGGGGGACATTAGGAAGCAGGCGTGAATTCCCTTGCCTATCTTGATGGGTCTCTTTTGTAATGTTCTGTAAAATTGGTTACAAAACATCAGTCCTGACACTTGAATTAAAATCCACTGATCTTTAGAAATGTCCAAATCTGTTGGTTTCCACAAGTGTTGACCATTGTAACTGACCATTGTCTATGGTGATCATGGGTCATTTGACACCAGACCCACAGCTTTGTGTTGATAAATGATCAGACACTTGACCGTGACAGCTTCGGTATTGATATTAGATTAGCATAGCTCTTTGTTTATGGGCCAAAGAAATACTCATTTATGGGACAGCATATGCGCTGAAGTAATGCACATGCTTTTACTTTCAAACAGGACTACCTTAGAATGTAAATTAGGTCTAAATATGGACATTTCTTTAGAAGTGTACATAAATATTAATATAAGCTCTGCTGTCAGACTTTTATTGATGTAAAATTTTACCAACTTTCTCAGGATGATCTTTTGTTTGTTAGATTTTAGGTGATCAGTTACAACAGAAGAATTATCCATTTAACAATTGATTTACCTTCTAACGAAATTACAGAATGGGAAAATAATTGTATATTTTGTAAAATTCTTTTGGTGGTATTGATGAATTGCCTAATTACATAAGGTCCTGTTAAAATACAGCTCTTCTACCTAATGGAAGGGTCAGGAGGCTGGCTTAGACACTGTAAATTAAGGTTTTGACAAGGGGAAGTAAATCATGTCGGTCTGACAGGGGTGTCATTAAGCCAAGAATATGAGACATTCTAGTATCATTAACACCATTCTCAAGTCATTGGTGTCCAAATTGGCATGAAAATCGCAACAAAATTACATGTTTTTCTACCAAATTGTTTCCCTTTTGTGCTAGACTTTTACCAATTGGTCATAATTAGCAATAGATTCATCCAAACTTTTAAACATTCATTTATCAAACTGACATTTTAAACATTCTATTTTCTGAAGTCTGAAGTTCCAGAGCTGCAATTTTCATTAAATAAGTATGGTTCACGTTAGAAACAAATATTGCTCGTCTAATTGAAAAATTTGCCGAATTCCAATTTCAGTATTGAAAGGCATCTTTCTACAAGCAACAAACAAGCTTATCAGAAAAGTAACAATAATGTTGGTATTGAAAGACATTAAAAATAGTTATGAATTTTTATCATTAGTGGATAAAAAATAAATCTTACACAACTATTTTAAAACTTTCACCGATCGATCGGAGACATAAAGTCAGTTATTTTAGGGAAGATCAGAGTCTGATAAGAATTTTTAAGTTGAAGACTTGAGACCTTCTAACCTTCAGATCAACACATATAGATCAATTTCCATTTAAATAAGTGTAGTTAGATTTGAACATTGTCAAAGGTTTAATATAATTACCATTCATTTTAAAATGAGTCGTAGTGTATGTGCCGGATAATGGTGTTTTGCTAACTTGGTGAAGAGCTCCCAAAGGACAGGTTCAGTCTAGTACAGAATTTATTTTGTTTCAATTGCAGTTGAATTGACATGTTTTGGAACAGTGATATTCCAGTGGGACAAACATTGGGGTCAGAGGTCACATGATGGGTACTCCATCATGCCTGCAGTCTATACTGCCATTAACCTGAATACATGTCGTTGTCATTAATCATATGTTGCAATATTGTGCCAATTAAACTGCTAAGTTTTGGGATATAACTGACATTTTCCCCACTTTTTACGTCACATTTTATGAGGGTTTCTGTTATATTTTTGATTGATAGGTGTATGCAATGAAAAATACTGTACATTTTATTTTTAATGAGTTTTTTTTTTTGTTTATTTTTATCATGACAATTGCAATGTTTTCTATCATTTTAGGAATTGGTTTTTTTCTGCATGTATTTAAGTACATTGAATCTGACATGTGTTTTAAGTTTATTAATATATTTCATAAATGATAATGCTTTTTGTGCCGTAATGTTCAGAAACCTAATTTTTTTAAAGAATATATTTGAGAAATGTATAACATATCTTTTTTATTATTTTCTAGCATCCCTACCCATCAGAAGAACAAAAGAAACAATTAGCTCAAGAAACAGGGCTGACAATTTTACAAGTAAATAATTGGTAAGTCAACTCATAAATCTTGATATGAAACAGAACTTAGGATCAAACTCCCAATTGTCCCAATTTCTTGTTAACTTTGACAGCTATTTGATTTTATTCAAAATTAAAGTGGCACATTTTAAAAAAAAAGATAATACATAAAACTGAATTTTCTAACATAATACAAAGTGTAAAAAAAAATCTAAAGTTAAAAGGTTGTCTCCCTAGATGTTTGTTTTGTTTTGGAGTAGAAAATAGTATTAATGAATTATAGTAATGCGTACGTACTTAAGAGTTGTCTTGTACTTTCATCATTCATTGTAGTTTTGACGGTTTTTTTTTTTGTCTCCGAACATTTTACCCCCTACCGTAGATTATCATTAGTTAATAGGTTATAGATTTATTACGAGGTATTTTGATATGTCTGTCAGTTGATGTGGTAAAGCATTTTATTTCTATTGGGCCTGTTATTTTGGCAGCAGTTGCATTACAAGTTGATCTCAAGCATGAAATTGCTGTTTTCTACCAGGTGACATCCTGATCGGAGCTCCATTCACCCAGGTTAACCTTGTGCTAAACATCAGCTTCATGATGGACTTTTAACATGTTGGCAAATGGCAGCAAATTACCTTGTAAAAAAGAATTTTGGAGGTGTTAAGAATTGCCAACTTGAAGCTATCATGTCTCCTAAGCATGCTGTGAAAGACACAGCCGTCTGCCTTCTCAAAACATCTTCAAGTTTTCACCCTGTCAGTTAAGCCCCTATCAATGGTATTAACAACATAAGTTGTCAAAACTTTTGTTGGTTAAATGTTTTCTTGTCAAATTTGAGGTGAATGAGACAATTTATTTGTTGTAAGGTATGATAGGGGGTATATATAATCCTATCAGAACTAATAAGATTAATCGTTTCCGTGATGGGTGGTTTATCTCCCTTTAGTCAAGCGTACAAATTATGCTCATTTTCATTGAAAATTTAAATGAAAATCACAAGCTTGTACGATTTGTTGATTTTGGGGTTTGTAGCTATTTTCTACTAAATAGGATTATCTTGGCACAAAGACTTCATAAAAAATGGCGAACGTGATTAGAGATTTTTACCTGTATCGGATCATGTTCACTGGGTTTTCTTGATGGTGGTAACTGGTCACACATAGTGTGGGAGATAGCTATCACCTACTGAAAGCTATCTCGATCAGGATCTCTCAAGTTTTTCAATCTTGGCTGGGGCTGAATTTCTGTACCCCATTAACCTTACCATCATGATACTATCTCTAAACTATTTATTTTTCATCTCCTTTTTTCAGCTGTCTATTTAAAGATCTAAATTTAACCCAAACAAAATTTATAAACATGGGATATCCGAGTGAACATGTTCTCAAATATTACTGTAGAGATAGGTATTAAGACAGATTTACATATTATGTTTGGATGACTGGAAGTTGGAACGCTAATTTTATTTTTAAGATTTTTAACGATAAAATGAATTGCTTGTGGATGTGTTTAGATACAAATTTGGAGAAGGAGGCATTCAGACTATTTCGAAAGGAAAGTTGAAAGTCATTGTTTGGAATTCTTGAAATGATTTATTAAATATAAGTAAAATGAGTATAATATTTGTATGGCAAAACAGCTATCAAATGACACTACTATTGTGTGTTACAATAAATTTCACTTTTTGACTTTTCAATAGAGGTGGGAAATGGAAGACATAAATATGACAATTCTTTAAGACACGTCCCATAGGTTTTGTATAGTATTAACAAAAAAATTCTAACCCTTGGCCCTCAATGTGGGTTGAATATCGTGTGAAAGCCCCGGCAGAGCAGTCATTGTTTTCTTTACCAATGTAAGAAGTAAATGAAAGTTTGATCAGATTATGCCAGTCGGATTGTACTAAAGCAGGTATAATATTTCACGATAAAATCTCTGTATTAAACTCCGATTTTGATTATTGACTGACCCTAAAACTGACGCCACTATCACGATATTTAATCATTTGGCGGGACTCTATCACCCAAACAAATAATATGAGTTGCATAAATTCAATAATAATTGTTATTTTTAAATATTGATTATTATGAAAATGTTGATGATATCTGCCTATTTTTCAAATGCAAAGTGCATGAAAGTAATTGAATAATGTATAGAAAATTTAGAGTTTTATTGGAAAATGGTACCGGGTAGAGAAGAAAAGAGTAATAGGAAAAGTGAATGGGTTTTTGATACTGTTGTACATTATATAAGCACAATTCTCCGGGGTGATCTGATTTATAATTCAGCAGACGAGATAAAAATCGGCAGAATAGGGTATCTCGGCACTTATCAATTTACAATCTCATCCATGTATGGCCATTTATGCAAGTTCTTTTGTTGGGGAAATCAATGAGCCATGCCTGTGATTATTCTAAAAATTCATGGCAGAAAATACTAACAAAGGCTAACTTCCTTACTCAGCAGTACCATAATAATGTAGTATAGTGTTTAAACATTCATAGCTAGACCCGATCTGAAGAAAGAATACTCCGAGCTAGCCTATTATGTGTATTTTTGAATAAATGTTATGGTCTAGTAAAGTAATTATAGAAATACTGCCTTGGGTTAAAAAAAACAAGCTTTTTCAGAGTTTGTTAACTGGCTGACTTCCTTTTCATGTGGAGGCCATAACGCTGGTTATGTTTAGGGTTATCATGATTAGCCATAAAGTGGATCTCTACCTTTCCTGTTCATTTCCCTTTAGAAATGTGTTCCGAATTAAAGTGTAATCAAGCACGAACTGCCTCAAATCTCTTTCTATTCATTTGTGTATCTATATTTTCCTCAGATTTTTTTAAATGCCGTGTATTTGGCTGTTACTTAAACATAACACAAAGGCCAATGTTTACCAATTATTCAAAACATATATACACAGCTCTGTAATTTCTGTAATAAGTAAAGGGATCTGTTTGAACAGTCTATTAAAGCAACCACACCCTCTCTGTGCACGACTCCTCCCATTCATTTCTACTTTCTTTTGATAAAAGAGATTGATTTAAAGGTTTCCGCCTTTGTTCAGTTTAGATATGGATTTCAAATTTAAACTTTGTAAACTTTAATGAGATTAAATACGGATATTAGATGTTCAGATTTGAAATATTCATCAGCGTAAATTTTTTTTCTTTCACTGACACTGGCTTTTATTTAGATCATATGAAAGGCAGGATAGAATTACTCACAACACAGAAATTGCATAATATCTGCTAAATAGTTATTTCCCTTGATCCTTTTCCTCTTTTTGACCTATCCGTAGAGGTCAGAATCGTATGATTCTGGATTTGAAAAAAATGACTTGTTATTATCAACATTTCAATGTTTTAAAAATAACACTGAATATTGAATTTATGCAATTCATGTTGTTTGTTTTGGTGACAGCTTTTTGACCTAATTCTGCATTAATGTAGTGATAAATTAGGTCACTGAAGCCTATTTTTAGTGTTTTCAGAATGTTAGTGTTGGCCTGCATAATGTATTGCAGTCATGATAAAGGCATGTATATCTAATGTTGTCTGTTGATAAATCTTGTGGAACAAAAGGGATATTTAGCAGATGGATGTTTTCAATGGCTGTGGAATAAACTAAATATTACATTACACAACACTGGGAGGGGAGATATAAAGCCATCCATCATAGGGACTGTGTAAGTGGAACATCTGCAGCAACTAAATGTTTTGACAAATAGTATAGTTAATTAAGATAAGTTTGCTATGCCTACAGTTAATTTTACCTACAGGAAAACATCAAAACTAATTTTCTAGCACCGATAACAGTATAACTTGTATATAATAACCTAAGTATCCATTAATTTCGGGGATTTGATGTCTTTTATAACTGAAACATTTGATTCCCTTCTACATTTATCATGCCGTATTATATTTCAGATAAATTACTTATTTCTAAACAATTTCCTACATCTCAGTATTTGCAGTATTTAATTTGTTTCAAGAGCCTTCCCTAACTTGAGTAATTTATTTTGTCTAATCAGTTACTGGGTAATTATTTTTTTTTGTGCCCCCTGTCTTTTGGTGCAAACAGCCATGAAATCATAAGTAGGTATACATAAAACGACCAGAAATACAATATTTATCAAAAAAGAATTCTGTACATTAAACAAGACCTAGGTTGGGTACCTGCCCAACTGATACTTACCATATAATTGCTTTGTCTATGTTCTGAACACGCTTAAACTTCGAGTTCCGTGGTTGATATAAGAATCTGGTACAGTTTTAATTTGGGTTTTTATAAATGACTATTTGATAGCGTTTTGGTGTGCATAGATGTTATTCAAATTTCAATAAGTGAAAGACATAAGATCTTTTTAACCCAACCTAGATTTACAGGGGTATTAATAACCCTATAATTATCCACGTCAATTAAGTAATTTTCAGCTCGATTTTTTTTTAGCTTGAAATTTGATTCATTGATAAAATAGTGAAATTATATCTCAACTAGGTTTATCAGATTGTACCGGTTCTCCAATGTAACATTTTAAATGTAAATTTGAGAAATGAAATCCATCACCACATGACATGCTGTCATAAGAAAACAAAGAAATCCTCTTCTCTTTTACCCGTTTAGAAACAGATAACTTTTTGTCGAATTACATAAGATTTGTTCAGTTTTGTTTTAAATGATGTAGTGTATACATGTATTAAACAATATATGCTCTTTCCAACAAGCCGAGGAAAAACATACGGCTTTACCGTGATTATTCAGTTCACGTTTTACGCTAGGCTAATTTGTAAAACAAATTTTATAAATATCTTTAAGTTGAGATGTTTTCCCCGAGGCCATTGATGCATACCTAACTGTTTGAATGTAAAATTTTATCTTTTACAAGATTTTCTAACCTTTTTGGTCAATACAGGGGAAAAAAAACAAATAGGAAAAGATCAACATAAAATCCTATGAATATATTCTTTCACTAACAATTTGTCGTACAGTATAAATAATACTTGTCAGTGAATCTTTTGTCATACATGGTA